CATGCTCTCTCTCTCTATCTCATTCTCTCTCTCAAATAAATAAATAAAAAATCTTAAAAAAAAAAAAAAGAATAAAGAGATCTACACATTCTAATAGGAGATCCAAAAGAAACTGTAAAGAAGGGGTGAGAAGCGATAATCAAGGGAATGTCTGAGACTACTCCAGAACCAAAAGAACACACACACACACAAAAACCCAAAACCATTCATCGTCAGGTTAACAAAAGTCTCTGAATAAATTTTTAGAAATCCACACCTAGACACATCATGATTAAGCTACCAATATCAAAGGAAAAAAAAAAAAAAAGACAAACTCATGACTTTTAAAGGAACAGTATTTAGTAATGGATGCCCAAAGATAAGGGAAGGTAACTCTCAAGAATTCTACACACAGCTAAATTATTAATCAAAAATTAAGGTAAGAAAAAATTTTTCAGAGAACAAAAAACCAGTTCACCATTCAGAGACCTTTATTTAAAGAATTACTACGGGGCACCTGGATGGCTCAACTGGTTGGGAGTCTGCCTTCAGCTTGGGTCATGATCCCGGAGTCCCGGGATCAAGCCCCACAAGGGGCACCCTGCTCAGCGGGGAGCCTGCTTCTCCCTCTCCCTGTGCTCTCTCTCACTCACTCTCTCTCTCAAATAAGTAAAATCTAAAAAAAGAAAAAATTACTGAAAGAAAACTGAACCCAGAAGGAAGGAGTGGGATGAAATAAGCAACAAACAAATTGGTAAACCTAAATAAGCACTGGCTAAAAGACTTTTTGGTGGGGAAAGTGATGTAACTTGGTGAATTTGGGAATAATTTAGCCTTGGTCTCACTTATCTTGGGAGCCTACACACATTCTGGTCCATTCTTTCTTGGATTTTTACAGGGACAGGCCTCAATGTGGAACTAGGTGTTTTTTATAACTAGATAGATAAGTCTGCTTAATTCTGGGGTGTGATAATTCCAAGCCTATAAGACACATGCATTTCTATAATACCAGTTTTATCAGTAATAATGCTGATATTTTTATCTCCATTGCCTACTCTTCTCAGTTGTTCAAAAATTGAGATAGAGATTCAGCTAAAATGGTATCTAGAAGGAAATTTGTAGCTACAAATATACGTATTAGAAAACAAGAAAGACTGAAAACTAATGATCTAAGTGTTAAACTCAGGAGATTAGGAGAAGAACAAAGTAAACATAAAAATATAGAAGGAAATAATAAAGAGCAGATGAAATAGAAAACAAAGATGTAATAAAGAAGGCAAGAAAACCAAAAGCTGGTTCTTCTAACAAAGCAGTAGTAATAAGAACCAAGAACAAAAAGATTAAAATAATACTAAGAATGAAAAAGTGGATATATAACTACAGAAGAGAGTTTCAAAACTCACAAGTGAATAATCAACTTTATGCCTACACATGTGAAAACTTAGATGGAATGGTAAATTGTCAATAAAAATATAAATCAATATTGATTCAAGAAATAATAGAAAACATAGAATATAACCACTAACGAAACTTAACCAGTGGTCATCAATCTCCTAAATTCCAGGTCAAGATGTTTACAGACTTATTTTACCAAAACTTTGTCAAAGAAAAGAAAAAAGAGAGGAAACCTCACATTCTATGAGGCCAGTATAATCCTGATATCAACAAGATGAGTAAAGAAAGGAAAATTTAATCTTACATATAAATGCAAACATTCTAAATAAAATAATCACAAGCCAAATCCAATATATCTAAAAATAATCAGAATGTCATGGCCTCACTAGCTTATCCCAGGAACACAAAGATATTAGAAAAATCTATTAATATTCACCTCATTAATAGATTAAGGGAGAAGAAAAAGGTCATACCAATAGATAAATAACATTTGTTAAGTTCAAAATGTCCACTTACGAGAAAAATTTAGCAAACTAGGAAAAGAGGATAATTTTAGTTTCTTACATCATAAACACAAGTATTTAACGTTAGGCACAAGACAAAGATGCTCATCATTTTTTTTTTTTTT